TTGCTTTTCCAACATCCAACTGGCTGGGTTAGGTGTCAGTTTACTCTGCCTGTGAACGAGCTATTTCTATTCAAACTTCATTACGTCAAGGCAGTGAGCAAGCCCCAGACAGTTGCATACTCAAACTCTGATTTGCAGAAGTGTAGATGTAAGTGGAAATCCTGAACAAACACAACTATCTGATTGCTGCCAGGGCAGCCAGTCCACCACCTCGATGACTTCTGTGAACAGCCCCGTGGGAAGGAGGATATTCTGTGTATCTGGTAAAGTAAGATCTCTCATGAGAACAGTTGAAAAAAGCTGAGCAAACTAGTTTGACAAGGATAGCTTTTGGCATAGTGACACAGGTTTACAAACTTATTTGAATATTCTTTCACTAAGAAATACTGAGACACTTATGAGCACAGCTGCTGCTCTCAAGAGTACAAGTAGCTGCTACTGTTGAATTGGTGATACTTCTTTATCAGAGTAATCCGATTCAAATATTTAACAAAAGACAGCTGACATTTGTATGAAACACATGTGACACACAAGTCTATGTAGGGATACAGCATCGTAAAGTATTCTGTACAGAACATTTTGCACTTGTCCTGGGCTGGGAGGATACAGAGAAGTTTATTTTTTTATTACATATTGAAATGGAATACAAAGGAAATCCTTCTACTGGAGTGGTGAGTCACATAAATAATGTATTTTAACTCAGTACTAAGTGAGAAGATAAAAGTTACATTACCTCTGTTGCAGTAGTCAATATGAATGAGGATTAAGGAAAATAATTGGAAAAACCTTGCAAAGGTCATGTTGACTGGTGGATGACTTCTTTGGAAAGCACAGAATAAGCTGAGGTACCAGAGTAAACCACAGAGGACTTGCATGTCAACACCAACCACTATACAGAATTAATTTTCTCTGTGTACACAATATTGTTCAGACTAGTGCCCAGATGTTATTATTGCCTTGGTCTTTGCCTGTATTTCAACAGGGCATAGAAACCACAGCTAGAGTTTGAAGGACACTAGTGAGGGAGCTGAAAAACTTTCTTCAAGGTGCTCGTGCTAGTTGTCTTTGTAAAGAAAAAAAAAAAGCAGAGGTGAAGTTTGTTGAGTGTGTAGATATTTACACCTTGGAAATACAGCTGAGAATGAAAGAGGAAAAGAGATTTTCAGCTTTGCTAAAAATGACTTACCTCCAGGGACCAAAACCTAACATTGTGACAACCTAACTTTGGAACAGGACAGTATTGCTCTCTCTATACAACGGCATGCTGGAGAGGAAAATGGCTCATTGCTTCCTAGGTCAGAGACTTTTCTGAGGATAATCTTTAACCCAACTTTTTTGCAAGCAGAGTTCAGAAAAGCAGAGCAAACTCCTTTGACCAGGTAAGCTTCTGGCAGAGTGACACCAGTTATGAACTTTTATTTAAATATCCTTGAGCAAAGCAAGACTGACACACTTTTATGAGCACAAGAACTTTCGGAAAGTACATGGGCTGAGAACTAGGCTGAAAGTGATGGTCTCTTCTCTGCTGTGGAACTTCTCTCTTGCTTACCCTATCCCTTCAGGGCTCTTGGGAAGAGAAGGATAGGAAGCACAGCTCTCGTAACTGCAGCACTTGGTGAAGACAGATCCAATATCTGAGTCTCAGCCTGCAGCCCCAGGCATAACAATTTCTACAAGTTCACTTTAAGCCTCACAGAGGCATGGGAAGCCCAATGTACAATGATTTCAGGGAAATTCAGTCCACTCAAATGTGGGGCATAATCAGCATACACAATGTTTCATGCTTCAGAGCTTCTGACAGCAAGGGCTAACCCCAAATTCTTTGCCCTAGCGTGTAACTAGAGATGGAGAGGGTGACTGTGCTCTGAAGAGGAACGGAACCACAACGAGGGATGGGACACAGGCCAGGGTAGAAAAGACAGAGAAACAGCTCGCGCTCTCTGGAGTGACCCAGAGTGCTCTTATTCAAATGACACATCTACTTTTATTCTTCATGGTTCATTCTGACCAGAAACAGCAGAGCAAATGAGCCAGCAACTGAGATATTGTGCAATTCTACTCCTCCATTAAAAAGGACAAAAGCCTTCTTGCAACTTAGAGGCAGCAATCTGCAGGGCTTGTGTATATGCACCAAGATTTCAGTACTGTCTCAACACAGCTCTGTTCTTTTGGCCCAGAATGAGCAAAATTTACTTTTGATTCTATTAAAGTAGCCATGGATATTTTTCACCCCCAGGAATTTGGTGGGGGTTTTGTTCAGGTCTTAGATATATGGATCTTTTCATATATATGTATGCAGGTATACACACACATTTATGCATGCACGCATATATGTATGCATATACACACAAAGTGCACATAAGAACGTGACAGATGGTGTCCTGATTTTATTAAATATGATACCCTTGATGGCATCTTTGCCCAGCTTGAAGGTTTCAGATTTCCCTATGTTAGGGGAGAAAAAAAAGAAAGTTCACTGGAAGTGTTCATTTAAGAGCTGCACTGGCCATAAACTATTTCTCCTGCTCCTTTCTGCACATAAGGCCATGCAATGAGTCTGTCCAGTACACCCTACTAAGTAAAGCCCTGGGTGTGGTGAGTCAGCAAGAGATCCCTCCACAGGATCTCATCTCCCATTCTCCTCTCTGTGTTCTGCTGCAGTAGTTTCCAGCAGAAGGGCTGTAACATAAAAAGAAAAGTCTCATGGGCAGTTAGCTTGAGAGAAAAGTTGAACAGACAGCAGCAGGCAAGCAACCCTCCCCAGGGAGGCCCATGTCACACAGGGAGGGCAGTTCCACTCACTGCAGTCCAACCCTGCCAGGCACTCTGCCTCCTGATGCCAGTACCACATTCCAGTGAATGGATGCCCTTCAGAGGTTCAGTGGCTATTATCCTCCAAGGCTAAGTTCTGCCTTGAAAAAGTGTATGTTTGATCATTTTGAAAAAGCATTTTGAGCCACACCTGTGAAGGCTGAATTTGGCAGGATCTTTTCGTTTTTCATGACAGTTATCACTGATGCTAGAATAACTATAGTTGTTTTCCAGGCAAGACTTAAAAACTGGATAAGTGATGATATGAGAAACTGCATGAAAGACAGGAAACAAGCCAAAGCAATCATCAACTCCTCAAAAACACCTTCAGAAAAAGCAGCATCGTAAACTTTGTATGTATTAAAAAAAGGAGGGCATTAAAAGCAGAGCAAGAAGAAACTAGAGAAAAATCCATATGGGTTATATGGCCAAAGAAGCTGAAGCAAGTATTGAAAGGGGCGATAGCAAAATCCAAACTCAGCAGAAATCTAACTGGCACATCCACATCAGCCTCACAGCTTGTTAAGGATGGACATGGGAAGGTCTTGAAAACAAAAGAAAACAGTTGGCTTAGGCAGCTGCAGTGGAAAAGTAGGTTGGATTTCAACTGTGTAGACAATAAGCTGATCTAACGTTTGCTCTACAAATATCTCCAAAGATAGAATTAAATGGCAAAAAACACTCAGATGGCACAGATTAAGAGATGACTTAACCTCCAACACAGGTTAATCCAGAGCATCTCAAGGAACTATGATTCACCAAGAAGAGTAACTCTCATCAGCCCTTTACACAGAAAGCACAGTCATACAAGTAAAGTAAAATGTTAGCTCAAGTCTGTATTATTTTAAATGCTAATGTCAAACTAGAACACATTCCCTGAATTTTCATTTCAGATGCAACAAAGATGCAACAGACAAAACATGTGACTCAGGAGTATTTTGGGAGATTCAGAATCGTCAAGTCAAAGTGGCAGCTCAATGGTGTGCAGCTATAACTCAGCCTCCAAGACTGTGAAGGAGATGAGATTAATAACTAGCTGTGTAAAACATCTGCACACAAGATGAGTCACTCCCAGCTCAAGCTCTACACTGGAAAGTAATGGAACAAGATGGAAGTTGGTTCACATACCTTGGCAGTATCTCAGAAAGCAGAGGTACCCAGAAGGAAATAGCATCATGGACTGGTGAGGTGGCAGCTCCATTCATGAGCTGAAACCAATGTTTTGTCATAAAAGCTACAACACTTCCACTCAAATGTTATTTCCAGTTTTATTAACAGACAAGTGTGAAAAATGGAAGTCTACCAACAGGATAGGCAGAGGTCTGTGAATCTTCTATAGCAATCTCTCAGGAAAACACGAGGCATGAAACAGATCAGCTTTACAACCTCCACCAAGATTTGTCAGAGGCAACAGCTACTTAAGTCCTAAGTCACTGCCCTTTTTTTCTGGACAACTGGGCAGGCATCAGGAACTCACCAGAATATCTGTCCTGGCAAAAATTTCGCCAGCAGCTGAAGGCACACATTAAATGTGCCAATTGTCAGAATCCTTTCAACACACAGCTCTTCAGGAAGGGATTTAATACTAGAAAGGACATGCAAAGAGCACAGTTTGGGACAGGGGAGCCTACTTTATTTTGCCCTAAGCAACACTTGATGGTTTGGATGGAATTCAGATTCAGAATAAAATAGGTTTGCCTTCAAAACAGATCACATAATTGGCTTTAGGTTTTAGTGCAATTTTCTTTTTAAATGGACCAAATCTTTAAGTTGCTCGTAACTCAACTGTTTGAAAACAGCAACAAACCTAACTGCCCCCAAGGAAATATATTCTTATCCTCAGACTGAGACACATAGATTGGCCAGCCAAGCTGCAATAGAAGAAAACTGCTACAGCAGCATCTTGAATTAAACAGCAACCAGCAGTCCCCAGACAACCCTGAGAATTGCAGATCTAAAGGTGTGACTTCTGTTTCACAGATTTACTTTGCATCAATCAAAACTACATAAAGCCCCATCCATAATATCCATTCAAAACTATAAAGGCAGTTTAGCAGAAAGGCACAGAAGTGATAAGGCATTAAGCTTTTATGCCTGTATTTTATATCTTGCAGCAAAGCAAGGCAACAAAGTAATACTTCCACAGTTTGCTCAAATAAAGGTTTAAACCAGCAATCTGATCTACTCACCCTTTCCACCGGTATCCAGGGAAAGTTTCTTAATGTCATCAGTCAACGTATCCTGCAAGTGGTCTTGTCCATGCTCTGCATCATTATCATCAAACTGAGCTTCTATAATGACATCTGGACTTCTAGCATCGCCTTTTGCCGTCTCTTGAGGAATGCAAGTCCCCAACATATCCTCGGGGACATCTGATTCATGCGTGGCTTCTGTTTCTTTGTCACTACCATCTGGCTTTATTACCTGAAGGACCAGGGGATTAAAAAACAAGAGGCAAGCTAAATCACTGGACTGAAGAAAGAAAACATTATCTTTCCTTTTTCATCTGCATCCCCAAGGAGCTGACAATGAATTGTGGGTGGCGGGTGGCACACTGCAATCGGCATGTAATTAGCCACAGATATTGCACAATCAAAAGCGGTACCTCACTAGGATAAAGACAGTACCAGCACAGCGTTTGCAGTACCTCAACTGTGACAATAATGTATCCAAGGCGTATCTAGAGCATAACCATACAGTTCCTGCCAAGCCTCTAATCGGCTCTCCAGAAGCTGGGAGTAAGCACAGAGAGGGAGGAGGATACACTGCAACTTAATGAGTTGCTTAGACCATTGTTCACCGAGATACACTAATCATCCTGGGAAGTCCCAAAACTGAAATGGTTCCAGTGAATGCTGGGATCATGTCAAAGCACACCTCTGGGAGAGCTCCCCAACACACAATTAGGAACAGATTGAAAAAGTACAGACCAGAGAACACGATGCCCCGTGACCTGCAGAAGAACTGGGCTGTGGCAGCTTGGTGAGGCACCAAGCTTTACACTTATTTAAGGCTTTGGTCTTTTTGTTAAAGGCACTCCATTATTGCTCGTACTTATACAAATCCCCCAATTAAATTACCAAGATGAATAAACTCAATTAAAGTTCAAATTACTTAAACATTAGCTAACTGATAATTCAGATAAGTAACACTGACCATTACTATAGGTTTGCCCTCACTTTAGTGCAGCAGTGGCACAGGGGGAGGAGAAACCGTATGTGTCCAAAATCATGAAGAACACATGTCCAAGTAAAGCAGACACCAGACCTGGATGGCATCCCTCATTGCATGTGACAGAGGCAGAAACTGCTCCATCTCAGGATATAATGATCAAAATGGTTGGTACCCTGCCTGGATATACATATGCCTTTACTGGCATCCTTCATTCAACCAACAGGGAGTTGCAAGCACATACCTGGCCCTGGAACCTAGATACAGGTTTTCATTTCAAAAGTGTTTCAGTTTCACTCAAGCTGTGGTACTTCCATGTGAGACTCAAATCAGTATGGAGTAAGAAATAACCTGCTATACATTACAATCACAAAGAAACTACCTGACCTCATTCCAATGCCCTGCTGGTGAGTGAGCTCCTCTCCAGCTCCCCTGGGGCTGGTGTCCACCAGGCAGGTAACTCCTGGAGATGTTTCTCCAAGGTCCCGCCAAGTCCTCAGCATTGCTGACCCAGTATATGACAGCAGCAACTCATGCAAACAGCAAGGCAAGAGAAGGACCCTTTAAAAAATGCAATTAAAAAACCCCAACTTTCTTGTAACATACTTCATATCATACAGTCACTAGAAATAACCATAAACAGCCTCAACAGGTCCTAGCTGAAGACAACCATTCCAAGTAATAAAAATAGAATCCAAAATGCTCCACAAATTATTGTTCAGTAACTAAAAAGCAAGTAGATCAAGTCAGACCTGTACAGGGAAGAGTTTCAAGGTTTTACACATACAGAGCTACAGTCATGCTTTCAAACAGTCCTCATTTCTTTGTAATCTTTTTACAATACATAACAGAAATAAATTTTAAAACAGAGTTGAATTCAAGACTTAAAAAAAACCCAAACAACTCAGATGACTTTACTTTGAACTCTTGTTACCTTTTGTGACTCTGCTTTCCATCTTTATTTTCATTTTTTAATATGTATATAATCTGTTACCATAGCAGATTTTGACTCAAACATTAAACTGTGACAAAAAAGGGAAAAAGTTTGGCAGAAGGTGGGAAAATGGCCGATTATTAAACCTGGCTACATTTGGTACATAAAATACTGACACACAATGGTCTGGGCAAGAACAGTCTATTAGATTAGAAAGCTGACACGGCTCCACACGCTAGTGACTCTGCCAGTGTGCCTATCCAAAAAGAAAACCAGTGTCAACAGTAATGTTTGGACCCTACCATGGTCAGATGGGGATGTATTCAGCTCTTAAATTTCAATTGCACCAGATGTGTGCAAGTGTGCAACTGCAGCAGGAGTTCATTTTCTTCAACCTCTTCAGGCTTTGCCTGCATTTCTTTCTCTCCAAGTTGTTCTTTGGAGAGCGTGAGATGTGTTTCATGTGCTAAATTACGAAGCTTTCTGTATGTGATGCAGCAAACAACATCAAATATAACTGAATGATGAAAGTGCTTCTCCAAAGGTGCAGCACTGGAAAGCTTGTGGCTGAAGAGCTTATTTTGCATTAAAGAAGGCAGCAGAAACAGATTTCTTTTTAAATGCTATATCCAAAAATTACTGTGCTTCCCCCAAGCTAGAGGATACACACTGCTGTCACCAGCTAGCAGAATACTCCAGTTGTGACTGTCTAAACCCCCAGTCACACATTTCCTTATTGCAAATGGATTTTTAAGTAAAGTTTTCCAGAGTCCACAAAACCATGACCTCTGTGCAGCGTAGAGCAGCAAAATGTCCAGCTGCTGGCAAGCATGGGTGACAGGATTTGTTTTCTTTTTAAGGCCAAGACAGCTCATTTAGGCTGACCTCATCCATAACAGAGTAGGGAATTTCACCCAAGATTTCTTACATCACACCAAAAATTTTGGGAAGCTGTACATCACAAGACTAGAAAGCTGCAAAAGACTTCATAAAACCGGAAGCTCAACGGATACAATTACTCCATGTAAGATGATCAGAGTTGCTGGCCAACATGAGCTCATCACACAGATTCCAAGGAGAAGGATCCTTATAAATATGATCAGCAGCAAATTTCACCATGATAGAAGAAGCATTTCTTATATGCAGCATCTTGGAAACCAGAAACTGATGATGTTGCACTCTTCTATTTCTTACTATGCTATTGAAGCTTGTGCATGACAAGATGTACAGCTAGAACGTACCGGCACTTGTCAGAGATGTGGAATAAATCAAACACACTATTGGCAAAGTCTACTGCTTACTCATATGAGCAGTAGAGAGCATCATCCTCTGTCAATGCAGCTGACTCTGCATGGACCCAGAAGAAAGGGATTCCCCCTTGCTGCATGTGTGAAATGTATGACCCTGCTACCATGCAAACACCCCAACGTGCAGGTTTACAGCCCCTTAAAGGATCTTAACTTCCTGACCTGGGAAGTCAAATGTTCAACCTTAAGGTTGTATTCTTTTCATACACTCTTTAATAATAACATTTTTTTTAATAAGCATTTTGATGCAAGTCAATTTATTTGAATGTGTGATCCTAAGAGAGTAGCTGAATAATTTTCTTCCAACTTTAAACAAATATCAATCACTGAACAAGAATCAAGTTTCTGCCCCACAATGACTGGTTTGTAAAGTCATAGCTGACCAAACACAAGATCTTTGAATGAAAATCCAATTTCAACCATAAATATAATAAAAAACAGCTAGTGGGCAAGAATATCCTGGCATGGATACGTATAATTTGGACAGCAGTGACTACCTCGCTGCATTTCAGCCCAGTCTTGAAGTAGCCATCAAATGAACTACTGTCCTTTTTCGAGAGGAATTTGTTCCAACAGAAAACTGAACTGGGAATCTATGCATCTGAAAGCACAAGGGTTACCTCCTGAGCTGCAGGAGAAGCTGTTCTCTCTGCCAGAAGCCATCTTGTATCTACCCTGTTAGTTCCAAAGCTTTTTGCAGACTTGCCACCTAAGCCCAGGCCTGTTGACTCTCAGATCAGGTATGGGGTTTTAGTTGTTGCCTCCTCAATGGCAACAGCTAACAACTCACACGATACTCTATAATCTCAAACTACTGAACCAGACCAGTGATTTTTCAATCAACTTTGAGCTATTAACCCCTCAGCTTAAGCCTGACACTAATAGGTTTGCTTTTCTTCCTTATCCATTTCTGATATTTACAAGCGATCCATAAATCCTCATAGATCTTAAGATGATACATGGATGACTGCTGGACTAGACAGAGCTGGGTGGATGCACATTGCATGGCTAAAAACTTTCCACATAGGGCCACCGTTTTCAACAGAAGCTTGTGCGCAAAGAGAAGTCCTCCAAAGGCTCTTGCAGGTAAGGAAGCAGGATAGTCTTCACCACCATTCTTTTGGACAGATTCAATAAAAATTAAATTCTTCACCTCACTCAAAATGCTGCTATTATAAAACTATTGTCATAAAGACACTGGGGAAAGTATGGAGATGATATAGCGTAACATTTCTTCTCTATAACTCATAATAATAAGCAAAATAAGCATAATATCATAAGCAAAATAGCTCATAATGCATAATCAAACCCAAAATGTCTAACTTATCCCAAAGATTTTAGAAATTAAAAGTCATTAACAGTAGACTCTCTTCACTGGGGCAGACAACAAAGAAGTGCCTCACACTGCTGTAGAAAGGTGTCAGATCCACCAGCAAGTGGAAGCTGAAGACAGATTCATAGCAGGCAGGAGCTCCCATTACACAGGGAGGATTGAACATGGAAACAGCTATAAAGGAAATAAGGTCTTCAGCCCAAGCCTATCTTCTGAGATTTGCAAACCAAGGTGAGATGCCTTTCATCCAAAAAAAACTTTGGTCAAACACAAGGCCAGATTTAGCTATAGACAAGTTATTATGCTCAATACTGGGTAGGGATACAAAGTTTAGGTCAGAGTCATTAGATTCAACTGCAGAGAGGACCTTGTAAAGCCACAAGTTTGAGAAAGAGAAACAGGTTGAAAGCAGTTATTTCACAAGGAGGACAGTGGGAAAACAGGGCCTTTGGACCAAATCATCTCAGCGTTAAACAGACCGTTGCTACCACAACACTGATACAAACACCACATTTCATACCAATACTGTGAACACCTGCATCTATTAGTCTCCCAGCTTTTGCCACATGAAACAGGCTGCACTTAAAAGCCGGCTCCCTAACGTTCACTCACGAGGGAGCAGGAAAGGAACCTGGCTAACATGAGGATGCTGTCACAGCTCACACATACATCCTACAGC